GTATTGAGAATGGAGACGAGGTTACAAATGTCTGGTTACGGTGGAAAGCTGAAAAATTCATTATCATTTCTACAGCGCCTTGCTTTGTTCGCAGATGGATTGGCTGAAGCAAAAAGGATTCGGCGGAGCATTCATCTGGACACTAGATTTTGATGATTTCAAAGGCAACAGTTGCAGCAAAGGCAAATATCCAATCCTGAATGCTATCAAGACAGGACTTGCTGGCGCCAGCCCACCACCAACGGAGGAGCCCGGGGTGCGTAATTTTTTCAGTTGTATTCAATCAAAAATATTACTTAGAAGCCCGAGATTTTTTTTCGAAAAGTTAAATTACATCTTAAAAAATATTTTTTAATTTTTCAATAATTTTCTTTCTTGCTTTTTCCACAAAGAATAATTTTTCGGTTTTTTTTTTATTAAAAATTATTCCTTTTTTTACATCACTAACCTGTCAAACGAGTGTGAAGGGATCAATTACATTCAACGTGTCATCCCAAAAACTCATAGCTTGCCGTTTCAAAGAAACGACTTAAAATGACCAAACTGTTAGGACTCAGTGCGTCATCGAAGCATTTCTTGTATTATATTGCGCCACCACAAATTCTTGTCTTCGTCTTCCCTAGTTCCACTGTCCCTCAGTTATTAATCTCATTTTTTCTTTTTTTCTCGCTCCATGGGCCAATTTTACACCGAAATATTCCTGTTTAGATGTTCTCATTTTCCACCATATTTTTTTTATCATTTAATTTATAATTCACAAACACTGATTGCTTTTGCACTGTTTCATCACTGTTGCAAGTACACCCTTATGCGTTCCCGAATTTTTTTGGACATATTCGGTTAAAATAAAGTCGGCTTTTACATACTCATAATGCAAAATCGTGATTCTGAGTTAGGCACGGATATTATTGGATCATCAAATGTAGTGCTTATCAACAGTTGGTTTTAGGATTTGAATAATTAAGCAGTTTTTTAGGGGAATTTGACTAATTTAGCAGCTTCCTATACAAAAAGCTTATACACGCTAGTTCAATTCAAGGATGATACAGCCTGCCTCGCCCTAGTGGCGTATCAAACTCCTTCTTCCTTAGCTCTATAATCTAGCCAGTCGATGTCTCGTGTATGCGAGGCGAGAGTTTTTGGACCAAAATCTGCTACGGAATAAAAAAGAAGTTTGTTGGTCAATGAAATTAGCATTTCAGGCAGCGACGACAACTCAGCCAGCTGTTGTAACAACGACCCCCGGATCCGAAAAACCTGTGACAACGCCTGCAAAACCTGAAAAACCTGAGACAACGCCTGCAAAACCTATGACAACAACTGCAAAACCTGAAGCAACAACTGCAGGACAAAAACCGACCCAAAGGCCAAGCGGTTCGTTTCGTTAATAGTCTAATAAACAATAATTAGGAGGAAGGGAAGCTAACGAAGAAATTCTCGCCTGTGAAAAAAGCTTATTTTTTGTTCCAGAGCTTTAATCAGTTCAGTGAAAATTCATCCCCGAAAAC